GCAATGAAGATTTGGATTGCTAAGTATTATGAAAATGATGAACACTGCCTTGCTTATGTGATATTTCATGATAGGCAGTAGGTTGTCCTCCAAAATGGTCACACCCAATGATATACAAGGTTACAAGTAAGAAAAGTGACATTATTGTAAGCCTTTTTTAAATGTGTTTTTTCATCTTTGATTAAATATGTTTTTTTATCTTTGATTTCACTTAATTGGCTTATATTGCGGTATACTTTTGTTGTTGTCGTGTGTGTGTGTGTGTGTGTGTGTGTGTGTGTGTGTGTGTGTGTGTGTGTGTGTGTGTGTGTGTGTGTGTGTGTGTGTGTGTGTGTGTGTGTGTGTGTGTGTGTGTGTGTGTGTGTGTCTCACCTGTCCAGCTCTCTGCAGGTTTCCAAAGTGCACGTCAGGAATGAAGAGCACAGGCTGGGAATCCAGGTCCAGCAAGGCTTTAAACAGCGTGCTGTCCGCCCTCTGGAAGGGGGGGGTCTGCCCTGAGCTGCCATTTTTCCCTGTTCAGACAGAGTGTGAACTTGCATCTGTTGCCAGGCAACCATTCAAATGACAGAGTACCAAATGTTTGTACCCTTCATCTTCTTCCTGAGCTGTTTCTTCTCTTCATCACGAAGCTTCCTCTCAGCGCCCTGCAAAAAGCATGAGGGACAGAACATGAGAGGATGCTCATGGAGTTCCAATAAAGGGTCCACAGTGACCTCACCTTGTCACAGAAAACCTTGATCTGAGCGAAGGCCCTGTGGATGGGCCTGCTGCTGCAGCTGCTGTAGCTGTAGCTGTCCATCTGGATGATCAGAGGCATGCCCTTCACTCCTTTCTGCGACGAAAAGTCTGTGCTCAGACAGTTCACTGAGATAAACACCTGGGGGGGAGGGGGGCAGAGAGGTAGAACACAGGTCAGCTTCTGGAGATCAATCTGTAGAGGGAAAGATTGCCTTGCAGCTCAACCAGCCGCGGCGTTATGGGTGGGCCTAATGGGCCTAGGCCCACCCACTCTGGCACTGGGCCCACCCATTCATTGATCAAAACTGACTGTGAGAAAATATAGTTTACCAACATTTTTATTTTTGATTATCAAAATTAACAATAAAATAATAAAATAAGAGCAAACATGTGTCTCCCTTTAAAAGCAACATGAATTAACGTAATCAGGCAACGTAAAATGTGAATTGGACCGAACTCATAGTCGAAGCGCGGGAGCAAGCACATTGTGGAACGTCTCACGGCCGGGCGCAGATGAAGGAGGACAGTGGACTGGACAGACACAAAAAAGATACCGCACTCGCTAACGATGTCACAACAATCGATATTCAGGTTTTTAAAAGAGGGAGAACAGAGTTGCCCGCGCCGGAACCACCACACTCATCATCCTCACAGCAGGTGCCGCCTCAGAGAGACGAGTGTGTTTAATGTTGTGCTCCGGCTGAGCTCAGTCCCTCTGCGGGACGTAACATCCGTTGGAAGGACAACAGAAAATAGCATCCGAGTGCCGGACCTATCAGCCATAGATGACCCGGCGGCTACACAGCCAAAGCTCATAAAGTACCCTCAGACACTTTTCGGACAAAGAAAAAGGAGCTTCGCTGCCCACTGGTATGACAAGTACACATTATTGGAGTATAGCATTAGCAAGGACAGTGTGTTTTGTCAAATGTGCCGGCATTTTAGTGAGAAAGGCGGGGCCGGCGGAGAAGATACATTCAGTCGCCATGGTTACAGGGATTGGAAAGACATCGACTATACTCTCAGTAAATACGAATACAGCGCAGCTCAGGCAATAGCTATGGAGAGAAATACAAACTACAGACAGTGCGTGAAATCTGACCATGGCAGTGGCGGCGCCAGGGTATGGCTGGGGTAGGCTACAGCCATACAAAGAAATGGCTTAGCCCCACCTTAGCCCCACCTTAGCCCCACCATGAAAAATTATGTTAAAGTAAGCATGTTGAGAACAAGGATTGCGAAAATCTACCGGTGGTGTCCACAACACACAAACTGATCCTGCTGTAACAACAAGTGCACGTTACTGATGCAATATGGTTGAGACCATTCGGGCTTATGCTAGAGGGGTGTGGAAATTCTCTCGCGTTATAATATCAGCGTGGCCGCGGTCAGATCAAAATGCCTCTGAATGCAATTTGAATAAACCTACAGCCAATCAGAGCAACGAAACGTTGGGTCTGCTGCGTCATGCATTACTGATACATCACGTTCACAGTGAAAAGTCCCCAAACTTGCGCCTAGTAAATTGCACAGACAGCAGAACTTCTAGGATTAATTATTATTACTAGTATATTTCGGATGGATAGATTTGTTCTTAAACGCCCTCGCATTGAGGTACAAGTCGAACAGGTGCCAGAGTCACACGACCCACCTGAAGAGGATGCCAGCCAGCGGGGACCCGATGGGATTGGAGAGGCCAGAGGTGGCGAAGATGAGGAAAATGTGGAGCAGGAGGCCGCCAACGTTAGCGACATCAGCCAAGGACCTGAGGCTGCTAGCGACATTAGCCAAGGACCCGGAGATGGACCAAAACGTCCAATTTCCAAATATTATCCCTTAAGACAGATTGGAAGCCAGCAACGGTCTTTTAATGGGGCCTGGTTTGAAACATACAGCTGGGTCGAATATTCAGTTGAAAATGACTCATTGTTTTGCTTTGCCTGTCGTAATTATTTTGGGTGCTGGGAAGCGATTCCATTCCGAGCCTGCCTTTACCAATGGATTTAAAAACTGGAAAAATGCAACGGGAGCTTTCAAAAAACACAACGGGAGTGCCATGGAGGCATGGTCTGAATTTAAACAGACAACGAAAGATGGCTCAAGACTGGGAAACACGATTGATGCAGGTCATTTAAAACTAGTGAAAGAAAACCGTGAGTACATGAAGCCCGTGGTGATGTCCTTACGTTATACTGCAAGTCAAGGCATTGCACAGCGAGGTTACCGGGAGCAGGAGGGTGAGGAGAACTCGGTTAATAGGGGAAACTTCCGAGAGCTGCTACACTTAATTGGTGAATTTGACGTGACTGTAGCAATGAAACTGAACGACAATCCTCAAAATGCTAAAGACACACATCAAGACATCCAAAACGAGATTTTCCAGATAATGGCAGATATGGTCCGAAGTGAAATAAGTGCAGAAATTAGGGAAGCTGAATGTTTCGCCCTGATGGTTGACGAAACCAAAGATGTCAGTAAAAGCGAGCAACTGTCCATCGTTGTACGTTATATAAAAGGAGAACAAGTGCGTGAAGAATTCCTGCACGTCAGACGCACAGAGGGCCTGGACGCCGATTCGCTCCTCAGTACCATCAAACAGACGCTCAGCCAATGCAACATCGACCCACACATGTGTGTTGGACAGTGTTACGATGGGGCTGCTGTCATGTCAGGATGCAAGAACGGAGTACAGCAGAAGTTTAAAAAGGAGGTGCCAAATGCTTTGTATATCCACTGCCATGCACACAGATTAAACCTTGTGTTGGTTGATGTGGTCCGCAACGTTGAAGCAGCAGCCTACTTTTTTGAAACTGTACAAATGCTGTACAACTTCTTCGCCACTCAGTCGCCCATGATACTTTCATAAAGAAACAGAGAGAAATGGAGAAATCGGAAACACGCTGGTCATGTCAATATACAGCGCTGGTGGCTATCTGCAAATCACTGCCTGCAGTAAAGGCAACATTTACAGAGATCATGTCTCAGCCCAATGCGCGGAGGAAAACGGAGGCCAGAGCGGTGAGTGGACTAATTGATGAGCAGTTTGTCTTTCTTCTTACGCTTTTCGAGGATCTTTTCCGTGTCACAAAATTCATGTCTGAGCAGCTCCAATCTCCCAGCCTCGAGCTGTCCTCCGCAATGGACTTGGCTGATTCGGTCATAGCGACACTGACAGACAGACGCGCAGAGAAGTCATGGATGGAAATTCGGGACAGAGCAAGCGACCTGTGCACCGGAGCCAATGTAAATCACAATGAGACACCCGAAAGGAGACAGG